TTCGATGATTATCGCAGGTGGTGCTGCTTCTTCGCACCATCGTCAACGCTCTAGGCCCGGGAGCCCTAATGGGCCACTGCCCCTCGGATTCGCATGGATCCTCCACGTTCCAGATCTCTGCGAGCCGCCCTGCTCCGGCCCTCTCGGTTCTCATCCAAAAGTCGCTGGACGACTCCTGCGAGGACTTGCGGTGCATGGCGCTAGCAATCCTTCGGGACGTTGTCACAAGCGCCCCTTGCCGCAGATCTCGGGTTCCGGAAACCGGGTGTTCTAGAAACATCGAACACGACGAAAGTATCGTCCGTGCTGAGAGCGTTGAGGAAATTGGAGGTTTGGGAGGCGTCAACGCCATTGAAGGACACGGAGATTTTGGAATTGCTGCCGGAGACCGTGCCACAACTGGCGAATGCCAGACGGGTAGGACTACCGTAATGTATTCAACCCTTCCGCATAGTAACGTAACTATTGTCCTTTGCTTGCGGAAAACAAATAAACTGCATAATTACTTTGCACTAAAATTTGTGCGGAGGCACATAAAACCCTTAAAACAGGGCTCTGAAAAAAGTGCGGAACAAAAAGCGCAACCGTAAAATTTTTGGATGCGGATGGGTTGAATATACTATTTAGACACTTCGAAACAGCCTCCACATCAACGAGTCGCGTACTGCGATGCCTGGGCCGGTAGGCTGCCTTCTATTGCTCCCAAATCCGCTCCACTTATAACCCAGTACATATTTCAAGCTTATTCGAAGTACATTGCAGCCAATATCGTCCCTACTGACGCATTTAGACATCCAAAGACAGTGCAGAGGCCGCGCACCACACATGGCAACCGGACTGAATCATGCCTCTGCTGCCAGCTGGCAGCACACAGTGCATATTGTAGCGCATGCCGCAGTGCTGATCCTTGCCGGGCTGCAACATTTCTGCGCAACGCACAAGGCAAAAGTTCTGCTGAGGTTCGTGCGACAACAGAGCAAACCACAGGACCAACGGACCCAGTAGCGCGCAACTGAAATTGTTTTGGGGTGCTGCTTCTCATCAGCGACTTCTGCCGCCCTAATCCGGAGCATACTGGGGGAGGTGATGAAGCGGTCATGGGACACCAGTGACGCCTGCCGACTCGAATTCGAGGCGCTTGTGAAGGCCGCTCGCGATGCGACTGAGGCTGACTAAAGAGACATAAAATCGCCGTGTCCAGCCCTTTCGATTCTTCCGTTCTTGAGTGCTGAAGCCCGTCCAGTTCATCCGCTGCGTGCACGTTGCCGATGGGGTGTGGGTATGAGGCCCCATAAATGGGGGTAGAGGGATTGTGTGGGTTGGGTGAAGCGAAGAGTTCGGTTGCATACTAGATGGATCCTGATTTGTTCAAACGTGTACAAAGTTTACGGGCTTGGTTATTTCCGTGTTTTTAGCATGCAGATCACTGGTGAAATACATATGTATGTGCTCGAAAAAAGTGCTATTTGGTCCTTTTTTTGGCTAGTGAATAGAATTATTATTCCACAACATGTAGCTATCTAACACGTTTCGCATTGCCGTGGTTTGCCAATGATAACAAACCACAATAGTTGGAAAACCGTGCCAAGATGGCACTGCAATAGCTGTGCTCACAACTATTGCTGTTTCAAACATTGAAGTGCCGATTTTTTGCAGATGTTCCACACAAGCGCCATCAGAATCTGTGTGCATTGGGTGCTGGCTTGCCAGCAGTCGCCGTGGCAGGTGGCGCCCACCGTACCCAACGCTAGTAAAAATATCATCAAAAAATAGGCATTACGACATTTGCTCCCTCTTAAATGTGTTTCAAAACTGCTTCGCCAAACAAGACGCTGTAAACCCATTGGAATTGCATATACGTAGCTGACTGTAAGCGCACTTCCACTTTGGTCGCTCGCAAACAATTTTATGTTTTTTAACACATTTTCCCGCCTGCTACAACTGGGTACATAGGAGACAGAATTGTGTCCGGTGAGCCGTTTTCTGCCAGCGCGACGGCCCCCATTAATGGGTCAATTTGTCAATAATGCCATTAATTCGTCAACATTGACAAATGACGTGCGGTCACGAAGTGTCCACCACGCACACTTATGCACCACTTTTCTCCCCACTCTTCTCTATTTTGAGAAGCGTTTTGGTGACCGGCATCTCAACTTCAACCAAAAATTTTTGTGTGATCCAGCTGCTGTCGTTTGGCCCTCAGCCAGCGAACTAGTCTCGTGATGCTCCGGATGCTTTTGGCATTCGTGCACAAAAAAATCTTTCGCCATTGCCCAATTTGGGCCTTGGTTGCGCTTCCATCGACGTGGGTGTTCGTCATTCCATGGGAGCCCAAGGGCCCAGTCGATCGCTGTGTTGGCCCAAGCAAGCACAATCTCGCCCTGTGCCCTGCTTCAAACCCGTTGTCCGCAATGTGTCGCTCTCGCGATTTTGGGACGCGCACACCGTTGCGTTCATGGATCGCAGCTGCACACTGTGCTGCCAATCTGCGCGCGGGAAATTCTGCCCGACCTCGACGAAATTTCCTGTCTCCGTGTCTTGCGCCAGCTGCTGGGAAACGAACAATAGTTTGGCCCGGGCGCTACACATGGAACAATGCCATTTGAGCCGCAAGGGCAGCGCACTGTGGCATCACGGCAAACGTTCGTTGAAGGGGTCTGAAACAAGTTAGGTTGTTGCAGCTGGTGTTTCGGAAGACTCTGCACGTAAGCCTGGATCAAATCACACAATGGCAACCGTTGTACTTTAGAGGTTGCTTCCCAGCCCTAGGAAGCTGATTAGCTGGGAAGGGGGTCACAGTTGTGTCTGGGCATCCGGGAACAGTAAGTCCCCCATATGGGTAAAGCGTCCGGTGCAACAGTGCCCTGTTTTCCGAGACATTTCCGTCATCTGAGACGGTTTTCACGACACGGGTTGCCACCACCAACCCGAGGCCATCAGCGGTCGAAGGCCCAGTGTCGCCCGGTCGCTTGACGCAGTTTCATTTCGTCTGCAGATCGAATCAAATATTGGAAACACCGTGCGTTGCCAGCACAAACTGGGTTCAATCTGGACCGACCCGTGTCATTTTAACCAGTCCGAATTGCTGTTTACATACATTTACTCTAGTTTTCGTGTATTTAGCAATAGTTCCAGGTGTCAGTTTATTTTGAAGATGTGGAGTGGTGAGGATGTCCTGCCCAAAGTCTGTGCAGCGCACTGCCACCCAGAGGCAAGCCTTTGCCTTGGCCTGTTTTGAAAGGAACGTTGTACGGCACTGTGACTGCCAGACACACCAGACGGCAATGAACAAATTCTTACTACACTTCAATTTGAGCTCTGATGCTCGCTTAGCACAACACACTACCCCGATGGGCGGGTCTTTTATGCAATCGCTTTCCTGGTCCCTCCACTCAGCACCTCATCGGATGTTTCCACTGGACACCCACATTCGACCAAAAGGGGCAGGGGATGGCTGCTCTGGAGCAGCGCTCCGGCGGCCTTTAGCCACGCAAGTAGCCACCAGCTGCCTACCACGACCCCGTACGTCTACAGACCACTCTCTGCTGCTCCCAAAGCACTCCTGGTGCAGGTCGACAGGCTGTCCGCCTCTCCACAAATGAATTCCCCGCTTGAACCTACGAAAGATGCCCTCATCCGTAAACAAACACATTCGCGCAAATCAGGGCTCCATTGTGTGGTTCGTGCAACAGAGCCTTACGCCACTCTCAGCATCTCTGGAAGGGAACCCATGTTCACCCTCTGAGAACTCACACCACCACAGTTGGGAGCCACTTCCAGCTTAGCCAGCTGCCAACACAGACTCGCGCACAGCACTTCAACACCAAGCTTGAAGGGCAGCCCCATGCGCAACTCCCATACCTGGAGCTATGGCCAGGTGCCCACTCGTTGAATTGCAGCACTTAAAATACCTCCATCCCCCTAGCCTCTGCCCCTGATTTTCTTCCTCGCTGTTGCTCCCTTTCCTGCCCGAAATTCCTGGCCGTCTACTGCTGGTCCCGAAACTGCCCACTTGCCTCTTGCAACTCGTTCTCTGGCAGTCCAGCTGCCTACAGAGCCGATCGTACCGACGTGTCCATTTCCTCCCCCACAGCCACAATACTGGGCAGATATGCTACATCAGAACATGGACGTCAAAGCAGGTCACTCAGGCGTCCTACAAGGGTGCAATCGGTGTCAACCGCTCCGGTCTTGCTGGACCCCAACTTGTTGCAGAGTCCAAAGGATCCAACCAAGCATGTGATTTTTGAACGGGAACAAGAGATGTGGTGCAAACACCAGGTGCGGGCTGTGCACCCCTGTGACTGGGCTGGATCAGCCCCAAGGTCAGGCGCCAATACCCAGCAAAGTGCCAACCACGATCCCCACGCCGCATCCGCGCCACAGTCCTTTCTTCCAACCGACCCTCCCCAGTACAGCCCCGCCTTCAGTTTTTCGCAACTCACTCCACCCCCTTGATGGCGCCGCCCAACGATTGTCCCCAGCTCGCCCCCCTCCCTCCACAACCATCCCAGCCTCCCTGCCCACAATCCCTGTAGCCACAGCAACTCACACGCGCCACCGACAGCCACAGACATGTCCAGCATGCCTGTGGTCCATGTGCCACAAGATACTGGTACACAAAAGGCCAGCCCACCCCACATCCCCGAACACCTGTTCAGGAGGGAGTGCCCTGTTTCATTCCAGCTGTGTTTCTCTTAACAATTCAAAACTCGTGGTCTCCATTAGACTTGCTCAGGGCTTTCAGTACTCAATTGCTTTTTCTTGCTTGTCTTTTGCCTTTGAGGCTCGCCCGATTCCTCCCACCCCAAACCCACTCACCTGCCCAGGAGGGCTTTGCCCATTTGCCTGACACCATTCTCTTCGTCTTTCAGTGAATCTCAGCCCCAGCCCTGCGCACTTGCCCAGGAAAGGGTTCCTCATTGCCCGACCTCCTTTTCGTCTTCTCTCCCGTCCACCTGCAGCAGATCGGCCCCCCCGCCCCGCCAAGCCCATTCCCCTCACCCCCTGCTCCGCCGCCCCACCTCTGCCTCCACCTCCTGGATCACGGCCTGGTAGCAGAAGTAGTACTGGTCCACGGTCTGCACCATGCCCACGCGCTGCCGCCGCAACCGCGCCACCACGCCGGGCACGTCCACCGCCTTCTCGATCTGGGCCGCGGACGGCGGCCCCCCCCGCAGCAGCGTGTACAGCCGCTGGAGCAAAACGTAGACCGCGCAAAAGGTGCCCGTCCTGCCCACCCCGGCGCTGCAATGGACCAAAATGGGCGCCCTGCCCGCCCCCGTGGCCTCCAGTAGATTGATGAGGTCGCGCAGGGGCTTGGTGAATTCGGGCACGCCGTGATCCGGCCACTCGTGGTAGTGGTAGTGCTGCACCACCGAGGCCATTCCGTTCGTGCGGTCGGTAACCCTGATGGAGCGGACCGTGATGTCAGGGCTGACGTCCCTCAGCTCCTCCACGGCCACTTGCAGCCGCCCCACGGAGCTGCTCGCCCCCCTGGCCTGTGGGAAGTACGGCGCGCACTTCTCCACTCCCCGCTCCACCGCTCGAGTGAGCATCACCACCGCGCTGCACCGCTGCTCGAGCGCCATGCGCCAGAAATCTTCCACGGTCCCCTTCAATGGTCCCTGGGAGGCGATGAAGCACCACGGCGGGCTCTCCCCGCCCCCGCTCCTCACGATGCTCGCGTTGATGTAGTCCCGCCCCTCAGGCGAGGTCGCCAATCTCACCCGGTTGAAGTCGAAGGGCACGATGTTGCGATAGCGGTTGCGAGACGAGTTCCCCGGCGCGCTTGCCGCGGCAGAGGGCTGCTGGGGCGATGCCGCGATCATGGCCAGCCGCTCGTACTCTTCCGCGAAGCCGCGGCCTCCCGATTGCATCAGCTGAGCGAGCTTGGCGCCCAGCGCCGCGCTCGCCTTTGCGAGCACTGCCTGCTCGTGGGGCATGCCGGGATCGGCCCGGGCGGGCCGGGACAGGCCGGCGGCCGGGGCCATGCCACCGCGCTGGCCTCCGCGTGCCGCTGCGCCGCTCGCGGCGACCAGACGCACGTCGGACGGGGACGCGGCTCGCAGCGTGGGCAAGGGAGTTTTGGGGGCGCGTGGCCACGATTTTTTTGCTGAATGGGCGGAATTGCTGCGCTCAGAAAGCGGGTGAGACACAAGGCGTGCCCTCGTAAGCCAAGTGTCAGCTCTTGACACTTCTTTGCTTGGGGCAAATAGGAAGCTGACGGCCACCTCAGTGGCTTGTTGTGTAGAACATGATGATGCTTGTGAGAGTGGTGGAAATTCGTTGCGATCATGTTTGCCAAAACATGGCGAAGCAAGCCCCGTCACCAAGCTGGCGATGTCGGGCAGTGTTCCCAGAAAACAGCATGCAACAGTGAGGGTGAACAGACAATTGACAAGTGTATGGTGATTCATGGTGAAAAGTGTTTAAAGTGAACGTGGTATGTTATGGTGAAGGTACATGGGGACAACGGAGACGGGAACTTAACATTATTGCAGTGACTGTTATTTAGCTGATACGGCCATCATGTAACGCGTCTGGCTGCGGCCTTGCTTCCCGTGCCTGGGAGCGACCGTGTGCGAGTGTGTGCAAAGCCGTTCAGTTTGCGTGGTAATGATGATGATGATTAGCTCTGGTGGGGCGCTTAGTCACACATGTAAGACTAAGTGCCGGGTTGTCAGGGCAGGGTGAGGGAGTTTGGGGTACGCGAGTGCGATCTTTTTTTTTGGGGGGGGGTTCTCTGCGGCGCTCGGAAGAGAAAAATAAACAAGGAAAGGGCGTCCCCTCGAGAGCAAGTGTGAGTACATGAAGTTGTGATGCGCTTGCCTCACATGCGAGATTCTGCTCCCTTGTTTTGCTAAGGGATGGGATTTGCTGCGCTCAAAAAACGGGCGAGACCAGGGGCGTGCCGTTTTTTCAAAGCACTGGAGGAGTCTCCCAACGCGGAGTGAGCAGCATACAACACCAGCACGAAATAAGTAAGAAAAGGGAGGGGTGGGGGGTGGGGGGGGGGGGCACACGAAGGGCAAACCCCTCCCACGCAAGTGCGGCTTAGGGGCAGGGGAGGGCGATTTTTAGATTAAGGGGAACGGCTGTGGCGTTGTGGCAGGACCGAGCTGCAATGCTTACTTTTCTATGGATATATAAACTGACAATTTAAAACTTGGAAATTTATTGTTTAACATTAACTATCTTTTAAATATAGTACTTACCAATTACTTATTACTTAATGTTCTCTTACTTGAAGTATTGATATAGTTAATGATATTAACTAAACACGTTGGGCTGAAGGCTAGCCACTACAGCTGTGGCTGTTGTGGCATCCACTTGGCCGTCAACGTACCGATGGTAGTTGCACGGCGTCAAGCCATGGGCGACAGGAAGCAGATGGCAAACGATCACTGGATGCCGGTCCTGGATGGACTGCCGGGTGCCCGCTGTCGGGAAAGTATTCACAAAGTCGGCCCTCCAATACTAGTAAAAAACAGGTCAAAATGCACGGTTCCGAAAATTGTATATCGTGTAACACGACTGGAAATCGTGCAAAATGCGCGTTAAATTGTGTACTTATCGTGTATGTATCGTATGAAATGGGACTAATCTGTGTAGTAGCGACTGAGTGAGTGTAAGTGATTTTTACACGTTTTGACACGATTTTACACGATTTCTGCACAGTTTTAAACCGTGAGTATTGGCCTACTATTGCTTGTGCAAAAAGGCCTGGGCGCACTTGCCCGACGTCGGCGAAATGCATGTGGGCCCAAAAGACATGCTCACACGAGCAACAGGGGTGCCCCAGTGTTCTGGCTTATGTGTACTGCCCAGGCTCGCCATCTCCAATCCCAAGCTTTCCCGTCTCCTTTCCCCGATTCCGCCATCTCCACCTGAAACCTCCTACGAGTACAGCAATGAAATAACAGGGACCAAGGCCGTAAGGGATCAAGGAGAACACAAACATGAAGCACTAGATGATGGATGAACCTGTGACGTGAGTTTGTATTTCCCGATATTTTAACACCGTTTCGGGGAAGAAATGGCCAATTATGTACTACAAACTTCTAAATCTTGTGCCGTACTTTCCAGCAATATTGTTTTTTCTGCGCGGAGGACCCCCCACCGACGCAGCCTGACTCGATCCCACCCCACGACTGGCAAGAGCGACCGGCACTGGTGCTGTACAATGCACAATGACACCATGTACACCGTACATTTCGCACACCGCATGTACACTGTCCATTTTCCACACCGTGCATTACATTGTACAATTGCGCCATGTGCACCGTATGTATACAACATCACCCAACAGTGCTGCTCCAAAGCCGTACTGCAACCCAAGCTCCCCAACACCGCTGCCTTGGCTCTTTAGCGAGCCAGTAGTTGGCTCGTCAGGTGGCCATCAAACAGCTGCGCTTCAGCCCATCACCACGGGGTGACAAACAGCACTTGAGCACTTCGTGCCAGCCAAGACTTTGGCGCTCCGTCGCCCTCACGACAGCTGGTCCAACACGCCGCATGGCCGAATTCACTGATCGCAACTCCCACAGGCACACAATGACTTGTCCCTCGTGTTTTCCGACAGGGGGCATTCAATCTCCGCCCCCCCCCCCCCTTGGCCCCTCCAGCTTGGTTTGACGCCCATCATCGCCTATCGGGTGCACGGGCTGCGTTTTACCATTGCCTCGCAAATGCGGTCTATGAATTTGCGTGACCCTTCAGTTACCGTCACGCCACCGCGGGCTGCGTTTTACCATTGCCTCGCAAATGCGGTCTATGAATTTGCGTGACCCTTCAGTTACCGTCACGCCACCGCGTAACCCTTTATTCGCTCCTCTGCAAAACGCTGCGCTGAGCCGTCCGCCCCCCACGGGGCCCTCATTCCCCCCTCCACAATTTACCACCTGCCCCCGCGCGCCCCCAAAACTTTTTTCTCGTGCCGTCCCCACGCACGGCGCGCCGCACCACCCGCCGGGGCCCCTCCAGGGCAGTCCTGCGCCTTGGCCCGCCGCTGGGGCCGCCTCGTGTAATCCCGCATCCCCAGTCTTGCGATCCGCTCGCCTTGCTGCGGCCCTTCGACCTGGTCGCAATCGCGACGCGCGGAGAATTTGCCCAGCGGACGGCAGGGGCAGAGGGCTGGGGAGGGCGGGGGGAAGATGGGGGACTCCTCGGTGGCGATCCACGCCGTGGGGTCCAAGGTGTGGGTGCAGGACAAGGCGGAGGGGTGGGTGAAGGGCACGGTGACCGAATTGGATGGCGCCAATGTGACCGTGAGGCTGGAGAACGGGGACACGCACAAGTGCCCGGCGCTGGAGTGCCCGCGGCAGAACGTGGAGGGGCGGCCCGAGGAGGTGCGGCCGCAGATCGCGGGCGTGGACGGGGAGAGGTGCACGTGACTTTCCCAGTGGAGCTCGCGCGTTTTTGGTCGCCCGGTGAAGGGCCCTGCGGTGGCAATTGCGGGGGGCGGGGCGATTGGGTCCGGGGCGCGGAGGCGGGCCGTCCGCCTTGCGCGCGATCATTCCGCTCGGCTGGCGCGTTTTGGCGCATCCTTCCCAGTGGCAGCGGCGAGCAATTGCGCGTTTTTATGGCGCGAAATTTTCGCGACGCAGCCCGGAGTGGGGGCGCCAATTCGATCGGCGAATGGCTGGCGCGTCCGGCGTCGGGCGCGGCCCCTCTTGCGCGATGCAGTTCACGCTCGGCCGCCGGCATGCCGCGCTCCCCCCCCCGGCCCTCTGGCCGGTGGCTTCTTGTCCCCGTCGAGGCCACCCCGTGACCAAAGGCCCCCCGCTTGCGCCTGCGCCCAGGACATGACCAAGCTGCCCTACCTCAACGAGCCCGCCGTGCTGCACAACCTCAAGGGGCGCTACATGGTGGACGACATCTACACCTACACCGGCAACATCCTGATTGCCGTGAACCCCTTCGCGGCGCTCAACCACCTGTACGGGCGCCACATGATGGAGCAGTACCGGGGGCACGATCTGGGCGACCTGTCGCCGCACGTCTACGCCGTGGCCGACGACGCGTACAGGCTCATGATGAAGGAGAACAACAGCCAGTCCATTCTCGTGAGTGCTTTCCCTTTAATTCATTTCTTGTGTGCGTGGCAATGGATTGGAACGGCAGGAATTGAGGATTTAGGGATTGATCTGCGGGGTTTGGCGCCGAAGGGGTCGAAAGCGTCCTTCTGGGCGAAGAGGCGCCTCTCTGGGGCGGACCGCGGCCATGGGATCGACCGGCAGTCGCCCTGAAGCTGGAATGCCAATTGTGGTGGGAGGGGCAGGGAGGGGGATTCTGGGGAAATGTGATCTGGCCCTCAGCGCCTCTGACTCCATGAACCATCTCCAGCCCTTGAGATCGCCAAGCGTGAGAGGAACAAAGGGTGCCAAAGCTGCGGCACATCCCTGGTGGCTGGCACGTCGGCCAATGCTGCATTGGGAATGGTAGTTGTTGGGACCTTGGCTCCCTGGTTGCTGTCTTGAAATGGTGCCATGCCTGGTGCGAGGAGGATTTTGGGGCATGCAGGATGGTGAGTCCTGACAGAAGCACCGTGGCTTGCCAACCTTGTCTCTGGTAGAGGAAAGGGTGGTGCACCAATTGGCAGCCACACCAGAATTGCGATTGGCATGTTGTCCACTGGCGTGCAGCCAATTGATGCCGGCATACCATTGGCAGTGTTTGATTGCAAGTGGTTTGTAGTTCCCGGCTTGCCCAGTGCCAAAATGCTGCACCAGGCTTGTGACTTTACTTCAACTCCTCAAGTGTTGCTCCTTGTGTACCCTTGCTTCCCCAGCCTAGGCGTAGCCTTTGCAGGAGCATGATCCAGCTGTGCACACGATTGCAATCTGTTCTCGTTGCTCCCTTTTGTTGTTTATGATCACATTTCCCTGAGTTGTGTTCAAGACTGGAGGTGCCATACACCCTGTTGTTGCTGCAAATGATGCATTGGCCTAAAAAGTGCTTTGCTACCATCGAGCAAATTAGTCGACCCACATGAATCGTCCTGACCCTTATGCCTGTAGTCAGCCTCATGTTGGTAGCCAACAGACTGTAGATTCCCTGATCATGTGTGCAACTTATAAGACAGCACATTGTGGTGTTGTGCTGCTCCTGGTTCCTTTCTACATGCAGTTCACCCATCTCTCTCCCCTGCAATTAGTTTGCACTGCAAAAATCGACTGTTTGAAGCCCCAATCAAACCGGAGTGAACCCCTGCCAGCTGGCACCCGCACTGCAGCAAATAGTTGTGGCTTTGGGATCTGAGCAGCTTCATCCGCTCCAGGCTTTGGAATCTAGTTAATGAGGCAAGAAGCTTAACTCATTAACTCATATACTTAACTCGTAAGCTGTGAGCCATTTGATTGGTTGCATACCCCAAGCTTACTAACCAGCATACAGGTTTGGCAACATGCCTGCAACACTGATGCAGACTCCTGCATGTCGCTGGTGTGAATTCATGTTTGCAGGTGAGCGGGGAGAGTGGTGCAGGGAAAACAGAGACAAGCAAGCTCATTATGCGCTACCTTGCATTCATGGGAGGATACAAAGAAGGGGGGAATGACACTTCAGAGGACACCCGAACTGTGGAACAGCAGGTGCGAATGTTGGCATGTAGGCAGCAGGACAGCAACAGGGCAATGTTGCCTGCTTGTCAAGATGCAAGACCAAGGGTGGGCCTCCAACCTGTCTTGGATCGAAGGCACACTGCCAGACATTGCACTGTGACACCCTGGTGGTGCCTTGCGATCTGAAACGGACCAATAAAGGAACCTGTGACATTGTTTAGGCTGTTGGCTCATGCTGAGTAGCAGTGGTGGCTTTGAATGTTGCTGTGGCTGACACCATCAGCCCATCCCATCCTGATTCTCTCTCGCCTGGCAAAGAGGAATGTGTGGGTGTCCGTAGATCATACACCTCACTTTTGGCAGTGGATTGTTGGTTAAAACTGTTGACTTTTGGAGACATCAGCAAGGCACTGTGCCTGTGACCTGCTGGGGTGTTTGCCGTGACACTGGTTAGTGCTCAGGAGTCCGCGGGGTTGTCAGGACTGTTGTTGTGCTGTACCGTTATTCCAGAATACTGCAGCCGCACTTGGCTGTGTAAGTGCCCCAATTGTCGTATCAGAAGGGTTGCAGACCTTTTGCCATCTCACAAGAGTGTGTAAGGCAGTGTGGAGCCCACAAGACCGATCGTCTGAAAATGGTGGCACAATATCAGGAAAGCTGTCTCTGTGGTTGTGTCACGGTTTTGTGTGCTGTAGGCATGAATGCTTTGGCACAGAATAGCATAAGTCTGCTGTCTGGCTTGGGCTCCACCTGTCTGCCAGTCATACTCAATGCAGGCGTGTTGGTTGGCATGATCAATGGCAGCATCGGGGTGTCATGATGCTCGTGCAGGATGAAATCATTTAGGACACATTTCACCTCTTGAGTAGAACAGCCCATGCGCAACTTCAGGTAATTTGGCTCAGAGGTCGTGCCAGGAAGCTATTTTTTGGCATGTCTTCATCTGTCCCTCATTTCCATTTTGGTTTGCTTGTCATCGCCTTGAAGTTGCCAAGTGATCACTGCATCACATGTACCCACAAAATCACCGTGTAGGCTTGCAGCATTATCACAAATTGGCAAAAATGGTGTAATATGTCCCCCCGCTGATCCCAGTACTGTGCCTTTCGCTGCAGGTCCTGGAATCGAATCCCCTTTTGGAGGCGTTCGGCAATGCTAAGACCATCAGGAACAACAACTCCTCCCGGTTCGGAAAGTTCACAGAGCTACACTTTGACAAATCCGGCAGGATTTCAGGTGCAGCGATTCGCACATACCTCCTGGAGAGGTCGCGCGTCGTGAGCTTGAACGACCCTGAGCGAAACTACCACGCCTTCTACCAGGTGAGCACAGACCAGAATCGTCCTTGTGACTCCAAATTCCCAGCACTGCCTCGGTTGTCATCTCTGTAATTGCTTGCCTAGCTTGCTGTCACCATTCGATGGCACCTGCTGCTTGGCTTCCTTTCAAACCAGCAAGCACTGTTTTGCCACAGGCCAAGGCGTGCCAACTTGGGCACCGCCACACCCAGCAAGCCGTATGTTATGGATAGCACCTGGATTGGGCATCCCTTCTGGGATGGAAGGTTCTGATCATGATGAAGTTGTGCCTGGCCTGTTGCAGCTGTGCGATGGTGCCTCTGACGAGGAGAAGAAGGCGTTCTATCTGAAGCCAGCATCAGAGTTTCACTACCTTAACCAGAGTACCTGCTACAATTTGCATGGTGTGGATAATGCCCGAGACTACAAGGTCAGTGCTGCGTTCTGGGACACAAGCACGTTACGGCATCACAAGAGGCAGCTTCACACAGAATGTTTATGAGGCGGACGGCGATGTCATTGCTTATCATATCAAGAGCTCCCTTTCTGAAGGAAAATGCAGAAAACTCGCTGCCCCAAGCGTGTTGATGTAGCACATGTCGGTCTCTTGTCACCTTGCTAGACAAATTTCTGGAGCTGTTGAAAGTTGCACACCAACAAATGTTCAACATTGTCAAATACAAATAGGGGATTGATGTTGTGCAACTAAGGAATCTGGCCAACGGAGTTGCATGAAGTACAAATGCAAGTGCGATCGCTGCTGTTGCTAGACCACAATTCCATCTGCAGTGCCAGAACTGCGTTGTCGAGCACGTACTGACGCCACTACAAGAGCACAAAAAGGCCATTTTGATCCACGCAAAAATGCTGTTGGGATGCCCCTGTGGTTCCGGTGCAGTGTTCCAAACTGTGACAACACGCTATTCTTGTGACAATGTGGAATATCAGAAAACGTGACAAGTTGACGGCCATGCACTTGCACGAGCGATGACGGTCATATTTTCATCACTGCTGTTTTGCCCCACAAAACCAAATGCAATAAAAGAAGCCCACACTCCTGCCAAAAACCTACTGACCTGCCCGTTTCTGTCTGTCCACACCCAGCGAACAAAAAAGGCAATGTCACTTGTTGGCATCCCTGAGAAGGATCAGACCAGCGTGTTCAGGACTGTGGCAGCTGTCCTGCACATGGGCAACATTGTCTTTGTCGATGGCCACGAGACAGAATCCTCGGAGCTGGCTGATGAGAAGTCTGCGTGCCATCTTGAGGCAGCGGCAAAGCTGCTGGGTGTCTCTGCGGAGGGCCTGAAGCATGCCCTGTCAACGAGGACCAGGTTCACACGGGATGGTGAGTGGGGGTTGCCAAACCCCACCTTCCTGTCTGCTGTAACCATCATTGTCATCCTTTGTTTTCTCATCTTCCTTTATTTTGCTGAGTTGAACTGTGTTGTCTTCATTTCTTTCTTTCTGGCAGGAAGACACATGCTGGCATGCCATGGTCTCAACAATCTTGAGGCCCAGTCAGCATTTGAGTGTTTTTTGCCCTTGTCAGTTCCTGGTAGTCACATCGCTTTAAAAATATTGGGTGCCACACCCACCATCCAGGAAGAGATACTGCCCACCCAGCGAGACTGTGCAAGGCGATTTTAATCCTGAAGAAAGTGGTCACGAGTTGATGGGTGTCAGAGATGGAAAGATGAGAAGCTCAACATTCTTAAGTCGCCGTTCCTCATGCCACTGTTCAGATTGGGTGGGCAGTGTATGCTATCACAAAGTGTTCTGTCTTGTCCCATGTCAGTGTATCTTTATTTGTGTCCATTGCTTGGAGCCTGACCTTGAGGACACTGCCCACCCGACACTCACCATGGTCAAATCCTTGCGCTGCAGACATTAATGCACTGCGGTGGATGTCAGCATGCTGCAAATGCAGTTGAACTTCGACTCGAATGTCGATGCAGTGAAATACGTTCACTGATCGAGCTGCGGCGCGCAGGTGCCATCGTCAGCCCACTGCCTCCAAAGGCCGCCACGGACAACAGGGACACGCTGTCCAAGACGATCTACTCGAAGCTGTTCGACTGGCTGGTGGCTGCGGTGAACTCCTCCATCGGCCAGGACCCCAGGTGCCGGTGCGTGATCGGTGTGCTGGACATCTACGGCTTTGAGTGCTTCACGGAGAACGACTTTGAGCAGTTCTGCATCAACCTCGCGAACGAGAAGCTGCAGCAGCACTTCAACCAGCACGTGTTCAAAATGGAGCAGGTGAGGTGGCTGGCTTGCGGCCAAGTCATGGTACCTGTGCAGCCATACATATTTACGTGCTTGGCCTTGTTGCGATGCTGATATGTGTGTGTTCTGTCAACCAACTTGTGACGATGTGGTGATATCATGCTGTCATTATGTTGAATTCGTGGTTGTTTCCAGTGCGAAACAGTGGCCTGACGCTTTGGGGATCGGGGTTTTTGTTTCTCTCAGATTCCTTGTGTCTGGAATATCAGACAGCGCTGATCAGATTTGCGTGGCTGCTTGCTCCCTAGTTGTTCATAACTCTGCACCCGTACGGTCACTGTACACTGGTGGTCTAAATGGAATGAAAGAATGGTTGTGCTTTTCCTTGTCGGGTAAGGGGGATTTGAGCACTTGCTTGGCAAATACCTCATGCTGAGCTTTGGGGTGCCTAAGTAAGTCAAGCAGTAAGCCTTGGAGATGAGCAGGCATCTATTGTCCAAGCGCACAAGTGAATGAAACTGAATCGAAATGTCAATTACATTTGAAGACGCCCCGTTCGCTGGTTCAAACAAGCAGTTTGATTTGGCAGAGAAGTTTATTGATTGCATAAGGTCTTTGTGTGTTGGTGAGTAGAGTTTACTAACATACCAGAAGTGTATGAATGCATATGCTCCATGATTGTCTCTACTCGCTCTGCCATCAGGAATGCTTCAAACTGGTGTTCTTATTTGGGCCTCAGCCTACTCAACTTGCAAGGCCATGCTGGTCTGCATCATCTTCCTTGTGCCAGCCTGTTCGAACTTGCAAAGTAACGCTGGGCTGCAACATCAGCTGCAGTGCGGAACAGTACTCCTGCAAGAATATTTGCAGGAAGTAAGTTGAAAATGCCTTATGCATAATGTGCTTTGCTATTTATTGCGAAGGCGATGTGCGCTAGCCCACAACTCTTGTAGGCAGTGCTGTGTTTTGATATTTTGTTTATTGACAGTATGAAACATACTTTCAGTAATCAACGTGTGATGAAGATAATAGTAAAGTATATGAATCGATGGTGTAGCTATTGATGGGGTGCCCTGTGTTATGGCTCCAGGCCGAATATGAGAAGGAAAAGATCGACTGGAGCTACATCAGCTTTGTAGACAACCAGGACGTCTTGGACCTTATCGAATCCAAGATGGGCATTTTGGACCTGCTGGACGAGACATGCAAGTTTGGAAACGTGGGTGACCTGTTGTGTATACTCTTCCGGCACACCTTCAGACACAAGTCACTGCATTAATTCACTGCACAATTTGCTGCATTGTTCAAGTGTATGTTCGTTACATTTGTCAAGAGATGCTGGACACCACAGCTGGAGCACCCATCTGGCGATGTGGGTGCTGCTCACAAGCAGGGTTTCCTGGCCATACAGTGTCTTGAATTAAAAAAATCATCGTATTTGAAACTACTTCCTCTGTCCCAAATTAAATGAAACAATGTGTTTGCATGGCCGCATTTTCATCAACCTCTTGTCAATTTTGCATACAACTCACGTTGGTACATGCTGCCAAATTTCTGTGAAGAACGGACAAGTATTGGTCGAATGGTTGTACTTTGAATCCACAGGATTTTTCTGAAAACCCATTTCTCAAGCTGGCAGGCCCCCCCCCCCCCCGGCCCCGAAATTGGCCACCAGGTCGCTTGGTGACTGCCGGTGCGCAGCGCAGAGTAGATATCTGCAGCCGCCATTGTGGCTGCAGGTTATAGGCGTTCCTCTCGATGCGCAGAGGGCACAGAACGAAGTTTCGCACTGCTCGACCGTCGATCGCGACCGTGGATTCGACAGCCATTTCAGCTTTCAGATTTGGATCTGAAGCCGAGAAATCGGGGGACTTCACAACCATGGCGTTTTCGAAAGGCACTACTGCCATGGGCGGAGTGGCCGCAAGTGTTTAGGCCGTCACCTAAAGTTTGCAGAGATGCAATTGTCAATTCGCTGCACGGCAGCAAAAAGATGGCTGGAAGCGGCTGTGGCTGGAGCAGGCCACAAGGAGCACTTCGAGTGCCGTTCAAGCTGTTCTGAAAGACGTTGCTGTGAGAGATTTTGGACGCCATCCTTTCGGAATGCAACAGTACTACTATGCACCACCTGGAGTCTCCGATGGAGCATCCACACCCTTTATCGGTCTTGTTTGCTGGGATTGATGCCCTTTTGTGGGTAGGTGGTCCTTGCGCCAAATACACCATGAATTGGAGATCGACAACGGACGGCGAGTGTTCGGTGCACGCAGCAGTTCCACAGCTAGTCTTTAGAATCCAGGAGACCCCAAACGGCAGATCCCAGATATGCCCTTGCGTTGCCATGGACGGTGGCAGGGATTTCCATAAATCCAAGGTGGCGACATGGGCCGCCTTGTGCCGGTTGTCCATCTCGATGGGCGCCGATCGTTGCACTAGAGCCTGAACGAGGTTGGCTGCTCTACCCTTGCAGTGCCCTGAAGACCAGAAAGAGGGTCTGCACTTGTGTGTTGGGCTATCTCGGACCCGGGAACCTATTTTTTGGTGGGCGGGGAATGCCCTGGGGGGGACCATATTCTGGACTGGAGCAGCGTAGGTTCAATGCATGGCCAAATGCAATGTAGTTAATCGTTACCCCTGAGTTTTTGGCAGCAACCAATACATGTGTAGTAGGTGCTGCGGTTGCATTTTCAAGGAAAACAAACAAGTGATCGATACAAATTCAGCCTCACAACAAATTGTTTCATCTAATTTGTGACAGAGGAAGTAGTTGATTTGGATTCATTAAAATTGAAACTACGACCACTGTGCGGTGCCTATGCCCCCAGTGCTGCTATTCTGGGGCCCCACCGACCTCCAGCAAGTGCATTGGGTGGTGTTCTGAATGGAACAATGTCCTCAATGCACATAACAAACCCATGTAAAACAAAAAATAGTAGGGATACGAACTTTGACAGATGACGCCCTTTCGGACAGTGTGGGTGCGGCAAGGTACTGCGAAGCACTGAATACTGCACCCATCTTGCCCAATATGGTGTTACTGTCACACTGACAGTGCCAATCTGCTTCACCTTGCACAGTTGATTTGGGAGATTGCCCTCCCGTGCAGGCGATAGCAGAGGACATGATGTTGACACTAACAGTGCCAGTCGTCAGATTCAATCTGTTTCACCTTGCACACTTGATTTGGGAGATTGCCCTCCCGTGCAGGCGATAGCAAAGGACATGGTGTTGACACTGACAGTGCTAGTCATCAGATTCAATCTGTTTCACCTTGCACAGTTGATGTGGGAGAATGCCCTCCCGTGCAGGCGACAGCGGAGGACTTTGCGCAGAAGCTTTACCAAGCTGACACTGTGATGAAGCACAAGCGGTTCTCCAAGCCCCGGCGCTCCCAAACAGCATTCACCCTGGATCACTACGCCGGTGATGTCACCTACCAGGTGAACTTTCTTTGCTTTTCGTTTCGCTCCACTGTGTCTTGTTTCGTTAAGCTGCGCTTCGCGCTCGTGGAAAGAACGTTGCGTGAATCGCCTTGCCATGGCTTGTCATGCGCTTGTCTTTGCACACTGAGCAGAGAACACTGAGTAGCAAGCGAACGAACAAACGAACGGACCTGAAGGATGTCTGCTTTGCAGGTCATCAACTTCATGATGAAGAACAAAGACTTTGTAATCTATGAGCACCAGGAGCTGCTGGGCAAGTCAGAGGATGCTTTCACCAGGGATCTTTTCAAGGCGGAGGCGGAACCTGCGGTGCGGCCAGTTGTGAGGGATTAACCAAGATTTGTGGATGATCGCATACTTTATTGTTGATTTATTTGTAGCGATGTATGATTTGTTTACTCTGGACGTTGGCATTTATGGTTGTGAGTTTAGCAGTAGTTGCGCACATCTCCATCCGACAACGACACTTCCTGTTAGCTTGTGGGTTGGATTTTATGCAATGGCGTTGATCTGTGGCTAATGTACTATCAATTTGTTTTGTACAGTGTACTTTGTTGCTAAAGAAAATTGATTTGTTGCCAGCATATTCAAGTCTTTTGAAGTTGGACTTTGGCGTTTGTGATCATTGGGCGTTCTGGGCATCCTGTGAACTGCCAGGTCCCCAACATAGCACAATACGTACACGGACTCCAACCCCAATAGTGTTGTGTAACATAACCAAACATAGTGGTCTGCCTTTGCAACATCTTGCTGTGAGGCATTGCCAAGTCAGTCGTGTGACTTGACTCTGCCTTATCTAATGTACTCCAATGTTGCCTGAAGCTGCCTTCTTCAACTTTGCTGACCGCAGATGCCAATAGGGACATTGTGTGCATGCACACGATGGCACAGTGTGTGCATGTTTTATACTGTGAATGTTTATACTACGTCTGTGACAATAGTCTTGTCTGTTATCCAATTGTTGCAAACGCAGGTCAAGAAATTTGGCTGAAATAACATCGTTACCCCTTATTTTGAGCTATCCATAGAGCCCTCAAGCACAGAAAGCAACACGCTATTGTAGAGATAATGTTGATTTTTCATGACCTGAGTTGTGATTTAGTTCACGAATTCTTACAGGAGTCATTGACTCGTGTTAATTCGTTTTAATTTCTCAACATGTTAACTCATGTTTCTCTTCATGTTAATTCTTGTGTCGCTGTGCCCTCAGCCCGCCAAGGGTGGTGCCAAGGGTGGCGGGATGAAGTCTGCTTACAAGTTCTCATCTGTGGGGAGCCGTTTCAAGAAACAGTTACACGAGCTGATGTCCACACTGCACACTATGTCCCCCCACTACATCCGTTGCATCAAGCCCAACAGCTTGAACCAGCCCATGAACTACGAGAACGCCTACTGCCTCCACCAGCTGCGATGCGGAGGAGTGCTGGAGGCCGTGAGGATCAGCTGTGCCGGTCAGTCCCTGTGCCGGGGATGCATTCCTCCTTCAGCTGTTTTTGTTGAAGGCGCAGACCTTTTGATACTGTTTGGATCTTGTTTTCTATTTTGTTTGTTTTGGTAGAATTTGTTTTGTATATTGTTTTGGCCCCTATGTTTCCTTTATTCAGAAGCAAATGATTATTATCGAACTTGAAGCAGAACATGAAAGGAGTGTTTGTTTTGATGTCTGGGGTGTACTGACTGCCAAAGATACTGGAAGATTCAGGGAAGAGATTGAGCTGGCAATATTCGATGTTGTTTGGTTGTGCCTGATGCGATGGCATCTCAGCTTCTCTGAGCAGTACAGCATGGAAATCGAGTAATCAGCTTTTGAACGAATGCATTACCTGTCGAAAGACATCGCAAGTCACTGCACTTGGACACTAAACAGGCGTGGGTTGTGTAGCTTGTTGGATTGTTCTCATGCCCATCACTGGTTGCGAACTAGACTTTTATGCATACCACACTTCACTATATTACATTTAAATGTGCAAGTACTGTCTGTTATGACTTGAGCGCTGTTAGTGTTGAACACAGATTGGTGATATTTGCATTAGACCCATGGCGTTTTACATCATTGCCCTTCGATGTGTCAGTTGATGTCAAGCATTGTTCTGGAGCACAGATGCATGCTTCCATTGTGTGTCTTTGGCACCAGTTTGTCACTGTTGTAGCCATAGGCATAGGTAATGTCAGATTGGGGCTAGGGGCTTATCACCACAAAGGAGCACAGTGTTCCTTTCCTGTCGTCCTGTTCATTGTCATAATGCCAGGAACAGAACTGTTCGAGAACATCCTGTCCTGTGCTGAAATGCGCCTTCCCTTTGATCTTGCCGAATTGTTGATTGACAACTCTTGTGCAGTTCTGTGCAAAATCTCAGAGAAATGAATTGCTTCGATGGCAACTTCTCAAACGGCTCTTTGAATGTTGTCTAAGTCTTTGAATGTGGTCTAAATCTAATGGATTAGAAAACTCACTCATTTCCCTCCTGCCCGCCCCAGGTTACCCCACGAAGCGCCTGTTCGAAGACTTTGTGGACCACTTCTGGCCACTCGTGATCAATATGTACCACACCAATGTGGGCGACAGGGAGCTGTGCGAGGAGATCATTCGCCGGGCTGGCCTTAAGGACTTCCAGTTGGGCATCAGCAAGGTGTTCCTGCGCTCGGGGGGGCTGGCCATCCTTGACAAGATGAGGACGGAGATGCTCAACAGCGCTGCCATCAAGATCCAGAAGACTGTGAGGTGCTACCTGCAGAGGAAGCACTACCAGAAGATCAGGCAAGCAGTGGTGACAATCCAGGTAAGGCGTGCCTTTGGGTTCCTGCTATTTCTTCAGATGTGTGCGCACGTCTGTTCGTTTACTACTGGTGCCATACTAGTCGTACCACAGTATACAGTTTATGTGTATAGTGCACAGTGCATTAGGGATTGTATATGGAGGTACTGCTACATACAGTGCATGAAAAGATGCACTGTGGGGTGGTTTTGGTGTTGCAGGGTCAGTTTTTAAGAGGTTCCTGGTTTGTCACAGTTTCCTGCTCTCTTGATTTTGCACTTTGTTTCGTGCACCCCTGAGGGCAGCATGGAATGGGAGGAGCAATACCTTAAGAGGAAGAGACCAGAAATGGCACCCGTACACTGTTGCCTTGAACATAGTTTGGTCCATTCTTTCATGGATTCATGAGATAACGCACGATTATCAGGTGTGCTTGCTTGCAGTATATTGATATTGATATATTGACATTGAAATTCAATACGAATTGCAATACATCACAATGCAGTGCGAAGATTGCAGAACAGTGTGGTCGTATGGTGAAATGTTTGAAAATTTTGTGGAATCTGCACTCGTTTGCCTGTGTTGCAGAAAGGCTTGTGCTGTTTGTCAGTGTGCTGTGTCCATTGACGTTTCAGAATTCATAAAGGCCTATCGACTGTTGGCATCTGTGCTGTCTCAATAAAGGCGCCTTTGGCGTTGGCAGCTGCGCATTTCTATGTAATCAATTGTTTCCTGGCTTTGCACCACATTTAGCACACTGGGATCTGGAAAGAGAGCAACAACCCAACAAATGCTGGACCTCTGTGCATCGAATGCTTGACAGTTTGGCATTCAGCAGTTCATACATTTGACGATGTGATGCTGACTGCCACAGGCACACACCCGCGGCATGTTCGCACGCCGTCTTGCCCGAAACATGCGCATCCTCCGGGCCACGATCATCATCCAGAAGTTCGTGCGGCGGCAACAGGCCATGGCAGCGTTCCGCAAAGCATACCGTGCGGTGCTGCTCATGCAGGCGGGCTTCCGGGGCTACCAGGCTCGCAAGGCTGTGCACGAGGTGCGCATCCACAGGGCCGCTGTGACGATCCAGAAGTGCTGGCGTGGCTACAAGGCCAGGAAGGAGTTCCTGAGGATCCGCAAGGCCACCATCGTCATCCAGTCAGGACGTCGTGTGGTGGTAGGTGCCCTGACAATGCCTTTTTATCATTCATTCCAGAATGTTGGATCACATGTCAGTGTCCCAGTGTCACACGCCCACACCGGCAAGAGATGCGGACCTTGAGATGGAGCCTTTCTGTGCTGTGTCATTTTTGTGTGACGCACAGCAATAGCTGTTGGTCACATTTGGTATCGGCCGCTGGTAGTGCTGTCAGTTGGTGTCAGCTACTCTCAGTATCAGTCACTGGTGTGCCTATCAGTCACTCTTAGTTGCTTTCATTCAATTTCAGTGGCTGGTATCTATGCCAATTACCATGAGTGCTGTCAGTCACTTCAGCTTGTGATGTGTGTGGCTGGGCTTGATGTATGTGGCTAGGCTTGATGCTGTTCTTGTGGAATTAAAAGATCATGGGCTCAACAAAACCAGCTACACATTGACCAATGGACAATCATGATGAACTACATGCTAACTTGATGAGTTCTGACAAGATGGAGGTTGGCACAAGAGTTATTTTGAATTTTGAGGATGTTGCTGGATCTGGGCAACTGAGTGGACATGTATGTTTTGGTTGGATGATGATGGTGAATTCCTTATATACATAGCATTCACTGAACCCAACTCCGCTCCCAGCAGCATAAACATGATGTCAACAGCCTGTGCCACCCTTCGGCGCTGTAGGTCAGAAGCACAGTAAACGGATGTCCATGTAGAGAGAGATTCATATACAGAGGTGGCTGCTGACTGGGAGCAATAGAGTCAATGTTTTGGTTGGAAGTTATGCGGATGTTATTGGATTGACCATTGACACATACTGATGATGTGGCAGCTTGCAAAGCGTCTGAAGAAGAAGCTGAAGGCCGAGGCAAAGGAGGCTCGCAAGCTCCTGGCAGACAAACAGAAGCTGCAGGAGAGGAACAAGGAGCTGGAGGCGTTGCTTGGGCATGTGCAAGACCAGAGGAATGAACTCAAGCAAAGCCTTAAGGCAAGCTCAGCGGTGTCCTTCCCCATTTCCCTGTGCTCTCAAACTCCCAGTCTCGCTTTCCCCGAGTACTGCAGTGGGACAATGGTGCAAGGCATTGGGCCATTGTGGCAGCATCCCTGTTTTCGCCTGGTGTTGGTGTCGTTTCTTGAATGGCACTGGGTGCATCCTGCACTGTGCTTTATTGTTGCCTTCAAGGTGGAACTGCAAGCCATGTAGAACTCTTTGCGACAAGCGGTAAACGCGTGTCACAACACAGTGTACAGCCGCGCCTTCCTTGGTGCCTGGACTCTGCACACACTGTGCTTATTCTAGATTGCTGATACATGTTGTGTTTCTTGTATGTATGAATATATTGTCCTTTTTGGTTGTGCTATGTTCGGTATATGATCAGTATGTATCTATTGATATATTGTTTTTATTGTACCAATTCTGCAGTTGCTTGTTGTCATGGGGGGTGCTGCATTTTGGCACAGTCAAGCTTTTTGAGTGCGCCTGCTGCTTCACCCTGAGAGTGCTGCAATTTCATCTGTAGTCCCTGGTATCTCATTTGGCTGCAAGCACACGACAACAAAGCACTTGTGCCTGAAAGAAATTGTGATTGCAGAACTTTGGGCAACCACACTCAGGTGGACAGAAGTGGTCCTGTACATGGAACCTTGCACATTAAAGCGTGCATGAACCCCAAGTCAGGCAGGAACACCTAGCATACACGCAGTCAGAGTATGTGCATGGGACAGAGGCATGGCACTTCCTCAGTGCTGCATCTCCCTGCAATCATTGTGTTGAGCAACGATGACAACGATGACAACAGCCTCCCGAACATCGAATAGATGCATATAGCATGGAGACAGTGGTACCGATTGTATTGATACAGAAACATTGACACGTAGATACAGATACAGAATAGATACAGTGAATAGCAGGGAGAATGGAATGTGCAGTGAGAGAGAAGTTGACCGTGTTTGTGGACCTCTTGTGCAGGAGGAGAAGGCCGCAAGTGCTGCGCACATGGATAGGATCCAGGCACTTGAGGAGGAGAAGGAAAATGCCAATGCTAACCAGCAGGGCAAAATCATGAAGGCGGTCTGGGAGGAGAGGCAAGCAAAGGACCTGGTACGACGTGCAGGTTGCCGCTGGGTGCATTAACAGGACTGGGTCCCTGCAGAATGCATCCTTTATGTGATGTATTCTCTTGAAAGTGGAGTTTAGTAGCACCGTACTTGAACACTAGCGGCAGGCGACTGCCAGCAGTAGTACTTTGTACCACTTGGAAGTATTCGTATGCATTGTTGGTGGTTGGGTTGCCCTGTGCCCCAATTCTGTACTGCCATAAAGGAAGACAGTTTAAATATCTGACTACTACTGTATGTGGTGGAATCTGTTCATTTCTGATCTTCCTTCTTGCCTGGCGAGCAGATCCAATCAGAGCTGGATGCGATGCGCAAGAAAGCCCGGGAACGTGAGAAGGCTCTGAAGGCAACCAACCAGGAGCTTGAGAAGAAAATGGCGGAAATCACAGAGCGGTTGGAGGCATTGGAAAGGAACAATGCTCAGTTGGCAGAGGAAGCCAAGAAGAAGGAGGACGACCTGTTGAGAAGGTGGGGCTCCTTGTCATGGCTGACAAATTGTCCTGTGCAGTTGCCTGCCAGGAGGCTGCATGGTTTGGAATGGCATCCAAGTGCTCCCTGCCTCTCTTTGGTGGCTGTCATACCCTACCCGCGAACCAACGTAACAAAGTAACAGGGATCTCAGCAGAAAGACAGAGGGTGTGCTATGCTCTCATTTAGGGTGTTATTGTGGCAAGCATCACGATTTTTTTCATTTTGTTCCTGATTGCCTCCTTCGGGGAGCGGGTGTCCACCAGTATGCAAGCATCATGATGTTTTGGTGAATGTCAGTGAAGTAACACCTCCTTGTCATCTGAGTTCAGTACACTCAAGCCATGCTTTGCGTGCCATCTTTTGCACTGCAAGGATGCGCTCATGCAGTCTTGTTTGCGCTATGGCCTTTCCCCATCCTTGCCCCCTCAGAAATGGAAGAGAAATGGCATGGCCAGTTTTTGAGCGGCTCCATTCAGGGAACAAGACTCTAAGCCCACAATGACTTCACAGCTTGCGGTGATAGGTAATTGCAGCCCACATCACCTAGAAACAACTACATGCATGAACCAACTGTGACCCTTTGTTCCAAAGTATTTCATCAGTTGTGGACTCGTTTGTGCACCAAGGGATGTTGTGCTTTAAGTAACTATGAGCAACAGTGATTGCACAAAGGAATTCAATGACCAGTCAGCACTAACTGTGCATTGCTACGAATTGTCACACTGGTTGTTGATTGCCATTGGGCGTAGCTGTATCAATGATTCAATTGTCGTAATTTTCTGCAGATTTTTACTAATTAACAGTTGCTGGATTCTTTACTGGATGTTTAACATACAGCGAGTGTGGCTGCTGTGTTCTGCAGGTTGGAGAATGCGGTTAAGCAGCGCAATGAGGCCCGGGAGAAGACCATGGTCTTGGGTGAGGAGCTCAAGAAGCAGGAGGAGGAGATCGCAACCAGTCGGCTGGCAGCGCAGGCAGGGCAGGAAGCAGCTGCTGCAGCGGCAGCAGCCGCAGCAGCGGCTCGTCCAGCCCTCCGAAAGCACAGGTGATCCTCTTCTGCAGCAGTCAGTGATGCAAATGCTGTCAGTTGCTGTTTGTTTTCTCGGAATAAACTGTCTCACTTTGCGACATTGTCCTGATCGAGTTTGCTGGTGCCGTTTTGGTGTGGAGTGCTGAACTAGTGGTGCGTTTGAGAAATTTCAGAAATGGGCAGGAGACACTGCCCTTCCAACCAAGACAAGAGGTTGTGAAGTCAACATTTGTGGCAAGGGCGTTGTTCTCATTTTTCACGTTTAGCCATCGGCTTCACTGGTACATGGTGGCACATTTATGTATGGTCACTGTACGCTGTTGATGGTGCCTGTTGCTGGCATCAATTCTGAAGTGTGGTGCCTTCTCATCTGGTCATCCATTTCTTGGTTGGACCATTTGGTGGGAAACAGGAACAAGAGTGCTTCGTGAGCAACACACGTCACCTTCCAACAGCATCCAGCAGTGCATAAGTGTAATCATTTGACCCAGCTGACCAAACCCATGAATAGCAGCCATGTCTCCAATGTTGAGAGTCTGCCAGTTTGAATTACACGTGCCCCCCCACCCTCCTTAATGCAAGTGTGGAGTAGTCTATTGATGTAGCTTAGTTCATTAGAATATTATCTATATGAAGAATAGAGGACTTGGCACGATGCGTTTTGGCCTGTTGGAAGAGCTTAATGCTTGATTATTAATTTAAAAGATATACATAATGTATACATAGTATACATAGTATACATAGTATACATAGTATACATAGTATACATAGTATACATAGTATACATAGTATACATAGTATACATAGTATACATAGTATACATAGTATACATAGTATACATAGTATACATAGTATACATAGGCTGTCCACAGTTTGATGCACGCAGACAATGCGGATGGCTGTGCACCCAATCATAGGCAGCCAGAAAGACAAGAAGAAACGCGAGAGACGAGAACAAGAACAGGACTTGAGCTGAGGCTTACCTGCCAGAGGAGAAGAAGCTGACTCGTTTTGTGTGTGTAATGCTGCAGGTCAATGAGCATGGATGTGTCCAGCCTCCGGAAGCGGATGCACAATGACCAGTTGCAGCAGCTTGGAGCTGAAGCACCCATAGGGGAGAACGGCGACCTGGAGTCCAAGTTTGCTGGGTGGGTTCTTGCTGTTTTGATTAACAGTCCCAGAGTGTGCATTGATCGGAAAATGTTATCGACACAGACGAATAATCAGTCACTGCTGTTGTATTGATCACAATGTTTGAATATTTATTTTTCACAGTAAAGAGATCAGGAGCCTGGTAGAAGTGATGCAGGCCCCGTGCCCAAGCCAAATCGTTGTTAAAGAAGAGAGGGGCATGTCATGCAGTTGGCACCCACAATGTGCAAGGGGATGCAGTGCTCTTGAACAGGCACTGCTCATTCCAGGTGTAAATGACACTTCTGGGCAAAGATTTGTGCGTTTGAATGTTACCCATCACGACCCAGCAGGTGAAAGGGCACCAAGCTAGTCATATTAATGTGTATGCAATCGGCATGGATTTATGTTGCATGTTTTGGGCTGAACAGGTCTGGATTTATATTTATGGGTTTATGTTTGTTGAACAGGCCTGGCCATGAATACCCCGAGGTGGACCGCACGCAGCAGGAGCTGTACCTCAAGCAGCAACAGATCTACAAGGAGCAGCGCAAAGCAGACGAGGAGAAGCTGCTGCAGTGCCTGTCCTCAGACCTCAGCTTCCAGAAGGGACGACCGCTGGCAGCGATCGTCATATTCAGGTGTGGCCTGTGGGCTCAGTCATGGCTGCAGCACTGCGCTGCAGCATTGTATTGCAGCATTTCAGTGCAGCTGTGAAGTGATTTTGCTGTTATGGGTGGAGTGGGGACAAGGCCTCCTGTTTGCTGACACTCTGCTGTGCCTACTTTGCTTGGAAGGGTGCTGGCTTTGTCAGCAAGTCAGTCGCTCAGTGGGCTGGCGGGGAAACAAACGTTTGAGAATTCGCCAACCGGTCCATTTCAGTGCATTTTACATTGCCGATGTGGATTTTCAGTATTTCTGCACTATGCAAACAACAAAACGTAATTGTGCAAAGAATGGTCAACACATAAACTGGGCTTGTTGGTGAGGAATGTGTCCGTTACATGGAGTGGGTGCAGCAGTGAAAGTGTTGGCTATTAGGATGGATGTTCTGTCAGGCGCTGTGTTGTTTTGATGAATTTGTTTCTTGTGTAGGGTCTAATTTAGTAACAACAGTGCTGCACCAGAAGCAGCAGTATAGTGTCACAGCTATTGTGCAGACGAAGCATTGTAATCCTCCTTGTACAATGCTGGATAGTCTAATTTAGCGACAGCAGTGCTGCACCAGAAGCAGCAGTGTAGTGTCACAGCTGTTGCGCAGATGAAGCATTGTAATCCTCCTTGTGCAATGCTGGATAATAGTGTCGATTTGGGAGTGTGAGTCTTGGGATAAAGAAAGCGTTGCCCTTTTTTCAACACTTATTGTTTTGAGGGCGATTGTTGAGGTTAACAGTGCAGGTGCTACCCACATCAATGGCAAAATTACAGTTCATGGTTTAGGAAGGAAGCAGGCCTTCAGTCATCAATGCAGGTGCTGCCTCCAGAGGTGGCGATTTTATACTCGGGCAATTTAATGAAAAGGGCTTTGGTCATCAATGCAGGTGCTGCCTGCAGTGGAAGTCATTCCAGGCAGACAAGACGTCGATCTTCGATCGCATCATCCAGGCGATCGGCAAGCAGATCGAGGAGAAGCAGGAGGAGAACAGTGTGCTTGCTTACTGGTATGACGGTCTCTGTGGTGGCTGGTCTGTTGACTTTCAGTTGTGCATTTGCAGTCACTGCTGGCTTTGGTTTTATCTGTTTGTCTTTTTCTGTTTATCATTCTGTTTTCTCTATTATAAGCTTCGATGTGTGCTCAACGCAAATATGGTAAGCACATTGGCACAGGCTGCAGCCCACCAGTTGTTGCGAGGACTCAACACCTTCCTCCATCGTGATTTTGTCCATGATGTCCTAATCAATGGTGTCTTTGTCTTTCCTATACAGCAGTATCCGGTTCATTTCGCCCTTTTGGCAACTGCATCATTGTCGGGCTGTCATTGCCTCTTCAGCCCCTTGTTGCTTTGCTGGCGACGTCCTTGAGTGGCAAACGGGCTGCAAGTGTAACAGTTCGGCAAGCAAATCAGCAGAGCTTGCCTGTCACTTCCTGGCACTCGCCTGTGTTCCCCAGAATTCCCTGACATTCCCCAGCAACAGAGTTCACAGTTTGGATCTTGGTGGTTTCTCAATCCCATTCATGGCATCACACAATCATCAACTTAACAAGCCACTCTGGTGTATCTGTGCCCCACCAGGCTCACCAACATCGTAACGCTGCTGTTCATGCTGCAAAAGAACATCAAGCCGGCAAGCAGTGGCGCCTACGGCAAGTCTGGCAGACCAGGTGGCAGCGCACGGTCCTTCCTGGGGCCCAACCGTTTCACCAGCTTCTTCTCCAGGATGACCACGCCGTCCACACCCTCGTTTGCCGACGCCTCTGTCCACGGTGGAGGCGCTGGTGGGTTCACGCAGGTATGTGTCCCTTAACTCAAGATTTTACATTCCATGCAAGAGCACGGGTGTCACCATTCTCGAATCAGCTTGGCTATTTCAGCACATCAACCTTGAGAGCAACGCTTGAGACCTGAGGCCTGCGGCCTCATGCTCAACAACAGAGAGGTTGCTGCCAGCTGAGACATGGCTTCCAGCAGCTCGATGCGCTGAAAGCATTTGTGGACTTTGTGTGTCAATACGGCAAAAACTAGAATACAAAATGGTACAATTAGGCATAATAGCAGACAGCAACAATGACATAAGTGCAGAGTGCAAATTTCAAGCTGGTTAAACATTTGTCGTGCTCTCAGGTGGAGGCCAAGTACCCCGCTCTGCTGTTCAAGCAGCAGCTTGATGCCTTTGTCCAGAAGATCTTTCCCATGCTCAGGGACAACATCAAGAAGGAGATCACAAATCACCTGTCTTCATGCATCCTGGCACCAAGGGGCGTCACAGGCCGTGGTGGCAGGAGCTTGAACCGGACCACATCGCCAAGATCTGGTGAGCATGATATGAGGGCTGCTCTGTGATTGCATGTGCATGCGCATGAACAAGCAATGCGCTTGTGCCAATTTTGGTTTCGACACATATATGTGTTGTGCACATTGTATCTGTGATATTTTGTATGATTCTTACACACGCACATGTGGTCATCGTCGAAATTGAATTTCGAGGTTGACGGAATCCAACCATTTCCCTGAGGAATGATTGCAGAATAGAAGAAACTTGGCGAGGGTTGCATCCACAGCAGGGTAGGGATCAGTTCCACCCTGTTTGTCCACACACATCTGAGGTACCAGAACGAGTGAAATGGCCTGGTGGGTGCAATTGACATTTGGTGCTCTGCTGGAAACAAAAGGCCCATTGCCTCCCACCGCGATTCCTTTTCGGAGCCCCTGGAGCCTCTAGGTGCTGTCCCCTCTTTGTGGACTTGGCCCTTTGCCTGGCGAAAGATCCCAAGGATCGTCACCAGGAGGTGTCTTCCTTGTACTGTGTTGGGAATCTGGAATGTCTGTTGCCTCCAACAGGCAGACTCTCACCTGAGAAGCCTAAAACAGGTTGTTATCGGTCACATATCATACCTCCTCTTTGGTCTTGGGAGCCTTGCGTTGCTCCCTAACCCCTTCAGCTGCGTTTCCCTCCCAAAGACTGTATCAGAGAGCACAGTCACAGAGTGTACAGCAAAGTACCATCAACCATAAAGCCCTGTGCCCACTCCACTCATTGTTCATGTTCTCCCATGCTCACCCCTCAGAATGTGAATGTGAATTCATCCTTACATGAGAGCAAAACGTAATGAAAGGATTCTCTTTCCTAGCATGCACCAACCATGAAGAAATTTCATGCATCGCCTGCTGCTGTCCAATGTTTTCTGGTGGCCAAGGCCCCTTCGCTCAACCACCTCCTTGAATACCGCCCCAAAAGGGTGTTTCCAAGCATGCACTCTGCTAGACCAACGCCAGTTCCCCGCCTACTTGTAGAGGATGTCTGTGTCACCAGTCCAGCATGCTAATCCATATTGCAACGCAGAGGATGCACAGCTCAAAACATTTCATTGCCTCAACTTCCACTATCAGCACTCCCTGGCAGGACGGATGTCAATGGGCTGGAGGGTGCCTGCTCCACCCATTGGCCCGTTGTCTCCCTTGCTCACACCCCAGAGGCTAACCGCAGCTCCCTGCTTACTTGTCTAGGTGGCCTGTCCCCCCACGTGCAGGGCCGCCAGTGGGAGGAGGTCCTGCACGTCCTGGACCGCCTGCTCTTCGTGCTCAAGGCCAACCACGTGCCCCACTTCCTCATGCAGATGCTCTTCAAGCAGATCTTCGCCTTCGTGAACGTGCAGCTTTTCAACCAGCTGCTGCTGCGGCGCGAGTGCTGCTCGTTCTCTAACGGCGAGTACGTCAAGACGGGGCTGTCCGAGGTGGAGCACTGGATCGACAGCTCGTCGAGGAAGTACGTGGGTGACTCTTGGGACGAGCTGAAGTTCATACGACAGGTGGGCCTGGGTGACATCGCGGACCAACTGTGTGGCAAACGCATTTGCAGAGCACTTTCAAAGGGGATATCCACGCCTGCTCTTCAGATGTTTAGAACGATTTTTGGAACCATTTGGCAAATGCTTTTGTCTTGCACTATCTTTGTGAACAGTTGACTATTCCTCGATTCCGAATATTGCATCACTGTTCAGTGCCCAATTGCCATCCCCAAATTTTGTGCCCCATTGCGGCATTGAATTCCAGATCATTCTCATGACCTCTTTCTCCATTCCACAGGCCGTGACCTTTTTAGTCATCCACCAGAAGCCCAACAAGTCACTGCAGGAGATCACGTCGGACCTGTGCCCCGTGCTGAGCGTCCAGCAGCTGTACCGCATCTCCACGATGTACTGGGACGACAAGTACAACACGGAGACGGTGTCGCCTGAGGTGCTGCAGCAAATGAAGCAGCTCATGGTGGACAACTCGTCGGCCGCCAGCCACTCCTTCCTGCTCGACGACGACTCCAGCATACCCTTCTCGCTGGAGCACATAGCCCAGAACATGGAAGACAAAGTGGGTGATCAGCAGTGCGGCGCAACTCTATCAACTAGTCCACTGTTGCGTTATTGCCAACTGACGATTGATTAGCGCTTTATAGAGTGCCGCTTGCGTCAGGGTGGAACGTGATGGCAACAAGAGCTGGCCATTCTGCACAGTTTCGTTGAGTGTGACATGGGCCATGTTGCTGAAATTCGTGTATGCTCATTCAAAGCTGGCTGAGAATGGATAGAGTCGTGTACTTTTGGCTCCGCTATTGGTGCCATTGTCACCATGCGCGGTACTGGGCGCGTCCTGCTTATGCGGCGCATCCTCCAGAGCGTGGGCAAATGCTCGATTGCCACTCGCTCACGGCATAGCCAACGGAGTCTTTGCAGCGCGTGCCCTTCTCGCCTGAGCGCGTAGCCCACGACATGCTAACTTGGTACGAATTTGCTCCTTACATTTGTGCCCAGTTGAGGTTATGTTTGTTTCAATTTGTTGACCTTGTTGAAATTAAATCCGCTACATCGTGGTATTCAAATCCCATTTGTTGCCTGACAGCGTTGTCAACGAAATGCAAGCCTGGCGCGAATCAGCTCTTCGTAGCTGCAACATGGTCAAACCAGATTCGGTTGCATTTGTCAGATTTGTTTGAACGCCAGGCTCCCTACATTTGGCAAATTTGCTCGTCCGTTTTGCTCAAGCCAAATTTGTTCCTCTTTCGTTCAGGACCTGTATTGTGACATCCGCGAGACCCCGGAGGCCTTGAAGTCCAGTCGCGGATTCGACTTTCTGCACAAGCCTCTGACCATGGCCGCCTGAAGCACCACCTCCAGAGCGGGCCTCGGGGCCCCCCTTTGAGGATCGGAGTCGAATCACGGCGGGCCCGTTGGTCCCATTGGCGGGCGAATCGCCGACCCTGGCGTCGGCTGTACGATCATAGTGTGTTGTTAGATCGACGGCGCGGCGTTGCGCTTGGCGGTGTGATTCACGCCGCCCGGGCTGTTAGCTGGTAGCTGCCGCAGCGGAGGGGGAACGAATTCGTTATTCATTGGGGCCGTGCAGACTCCTGCTGGGATAGGTCCTACTCGGGGGGTAGGTCCTAATTGAAGGGTGGGTTGTGGCCCGCGCCCGTTGTGAAGTGCGCGGGAGGGCGGCTTGGGCCCGGCAGGAGAAGCGGGGGCACGGCCCGGCGACAGTGGGCGAAGGACTGGCCTAAACTAACCAGGGGCTCGTTAGGTTTAGGTTTGCGTCGTGCGGGGTTTGCGGGCATCGCCCGCATGTGTGCGTGTGACCACGAGGAGAGAGAAGAATTCGGTTTCCTATTTTATGGGTGCATCGACATTTGCATAAGCCGGCAGCCGTGCCCAGCCGGACCACGGGGACCACGGCCGCTGAGGCGGGGGACGGCAGCGCCCCGCGCTGCCGCGGCTTGGGGACCCTGGAATTGATTGCGGACAGCAGAAGGGAGGGCTCCTTTCGCTGGGGCACGCCCGGCCCGCCATGTGAGGCGGGCGGGAGGAGGCGCGGCGTGTGCCGCGCGTTGTACGCTGAATGTGTCATGTTTACGATTGTTGAATTAATTGCATTGGGCGTGTCATTGTGGGAAAGGGCGGGAGGAGGGTGGGTGACTTCGAGGTTCCGGGCATGGGAATCGGCAATGCAGGCAACTCTCACGGACTGGCTGTTGCGGTCGTCCCAGGCCACACCAAGGATTCTGTGAAAGGAAAGCTGGGTGGTTTGCACCGTTTTGTTTGCAGCCTGCGCGACGATCGCGAAATAAGCAAGTCAACTTTGTCAGAGATGGCCACCGGTGTTGATGTTGTTTGCGTCATCGTTGACACCACAACCGTACAGGAACACAGCCAACACACGCTAGCAGTTTGATTTCGGCCATTATGACTACAACGGTATCGTTGGAGCTGCATATCGACATTAACGGGTTCTCGTTATTGTCCATAACCATTAATTTTGCATCATCAAGTTAACATGGCGAACCTCAAGCCTGTGCTCCGACTGTTGCTCGTGTCCCTGATCCAGCTTTACCAGTCATTGCACGACTGCAGACCCCAAACATACAAGAGGCCCCGCGCTGCCGCCACCTTCCACCCACCCACCCACCACCCTAACGACAGGTGTCGTGCGCAAAAGGACTTGCTGCAGCCATCGCAACTTCAGCCCTTTTGAATAGCGCTGTGCCGCACAGCCTGTGCAAAGGATGAACAAACAATGAACAATGAACACAGCAACCATGACATTTCGGGGAGGCTACATTTCTGCATTTGACGGAATGGTCAAGCTTCAGCGCTACTTCCATTCCAAGAGTCTTTCCTCTTGTCTTAATTCTCGATGACCAACGCGAAACTTTCGGGTCGGCAAATTGTCAATATGCTCACGTCGGTTTCCTCAAGTCGGTTGAACGAGCCGGAACACATTCCAGCGCCATGTCAAGAGATATCCCTTAATACTCAGTCTCATCATGCAGTCACCCCCATTCTTGTGATATGCCAGGACGGGTTGACACCAGAAAGTTCCTAGCAGGAACTGCCCTTGGTGAGGACATCTCTCCCTTCAGCACGGGCGGAAGCTGATGAACCGTCCCTGAAGGATATTGGACAACGAAGGGGGCCGCATCCCACGGCGGCAGGCATTGGAGCTGGCAACAGAGTTCAGGGTGGTGACAAGAACAGCGCAGCAGTTGTGGTTCATGAGGGCAGTCACACTGAATAAACAAGGCAGTAAGATCAGCAACGCTGGATTCTGGAATTCATGCCCAACATCGCCTCTGAGGTGCAAGGGCAGTGTTTCGCCACGTCTATGTGACAATTGTAATCAGAGGATTTGAAAGAGAGTGGGAATCTACGAGGATGGCAACAACAAGCTGGCATGGATGGGGCGATTGCCAGCTTTCACAGCTCAGAAGGCCGCTGGCCACTGGGGTGCCGCTTACTGGTGATTGGCGGCTCCCCTCGGCTGACCAGCTGCAGCCCAAGAGGCCCGCCAGTCGAGGCATGGGTGGTCGCTGAAAGTGGCAATCTGAGGCTGGAGCTGGACTGCCTTAGGGTCCAAGCCGGCATTGTGGGACAGCGCTTCTCGAGATACGTCACCAGTAGTTTGATTCAAAAGGGGCTGCAAATGACGTTACACAATGGAATCGAAATGAATCAAGGATCCACATCCAGCATAAATCGACCAAGGAGTCCACGTTCGATGCAGAGTTGACTGCAATCATCCTGGATGACCAGCTCGATTAACTGAGGTTACCTGAGCTCATGCGGCACGTACGAAGCAATGATTATTAAGGCAATAGATGAATGGCTGAGTCTGCGCTTCTATTTAAATCTCCAAAAGAAGGCCGAAATGAAAGCAGCTACACCAACTATCCGGGAAATGTGGCATCCACCAGCAGCAATACGGTCCAGAATCGTCACCAACGCATTTGCGCTCTGTTCATCATTCGCTCTGAGAAAGAGCTCCTTTCCTTTTCGTACGTGCACACCGGCCAGGTTGAGAAAATTTTTCTCAAAGTACAACAGGCCCAATGCAGCGAAACACCGGGCCTGTCCATGGCAATCGTCCAATTCAGTATAGATGTCGAGTGCCCGTCGGTAATTCTGACGGGCTTCCATATAATCTCTCAACTGATGAGCCGAAGTCCCAATTTGGAGGCAGGCCAAGGCTTGGGAAAGTTGATCATTTAATTCAATGTAGACGCTGAGTGCTTGCTGGTACATTCGACGAACCTCCACAAGATCCCCCCACTCTTTGGCCAGCCTCGCCATCTGGTGGCAGGTGGTGGCTTGGGCGCCTCGATCATTGAATTCGATTTGGAGGGCGAGTGCCCGTCGGTAATTCTGACGAGCCTCCACGAATTGCCTCAATTCTTGGGCCATCATTCCCATTTGGTGGTAAGTGTTGGCTTGGGAACGTCGATCATTAGTTTCAATGTAGATGTCGAGTGCCCGTTGGTAGTTCTCACGAGCCTCCACAAAATTACCCGACAACTGTGCCACGACCCCCATCTGGTGGTAGGTCGGGGCTTGGGATTGTCGATCATCCAATTCGGTGTTGATGTCGAGTGCCCATTGGTAGTTTTGACGAGCCTCCCCAAAGACCCCCTCCTTTTCTGCCAAACTACCCATCTGGTAGTAGGTGCTGGCCTGGGAATGTCGATCATTAGTTTCAATGTAGATGTCGAGTGCCCGTTGGTAGTTCTCACGAGCCTCCACAAAATTACCCGACAATTGTGCCACGATCCCCATCTGGTGGTAAGTGTTGGCTTGGGAACGTCGATCATTAGTTTCAATGTAGATGTCGAGTGCCCGTTGGTAGTTTTGACGAGCCTCCACAAAATTCCCTGACAATTGTGCCACGATCCCCATTTGGTGGTAGGTGCTGGCTTGGGATTTTCGATCATTGGCTTCAATGTAGATGTCCAGTGCCCGTTGGTAGTTATGACGAGCCCCCCTAAATTCCCTCTCCTCTTCTGCCAAACTACCCATCTGGTAGTAGGTGCTGGCCAGGGATAGTCGATCATTGATTTCGATTTTGATGTCGAGGGCCCGTTGGTACTTCTGACGAGCCTCCACAAAATTCCCCGACAACTGTGCCACGACCCCCATCTGGTGGTAGGTCGGGGCTTGGGATTGTCGATCATCCAATTCGATGTTGATGTCGAGCGCCCGTTGGTAGCTCTGACGAGCATGCACAAACTCCCCTAAATATTCGGCCAACCTACCCATTTGATGGTAGGTGATGGCCTGGGAATGTCGATCATCCAATTCGATCATGATGTCAAGTGCCCGTTGATAGCTCTGACGAGCCTCAGCAAAGTCCCTCGACACTTGGGCCACCATCCCCAGCTGGTGGTAGGTTCTGGCCTGGGAATGTCGATCATTGAATTCAATGTAGATATCGAGTGCCTGTCGGTAGTTCTGATGCGCCTTCTCAAATTTCCTCAACTCATGGGCCAGTGTCCCTACCTGAAAGTAGGTGCCGGCTTGGGAGTGTTGATCATTGAATTCGGCTCTTATGTCAAGTGCCCGTTGATAGTTCTGACGAGCCTCAGCAAAGTCCCTCGACTCTTGGGCCACCATCCCCAGCTGGTGGTAGGCTCTGGCCTGAGAATGTCGATCATTGAATTCGATGTAGATGTCGAGTGCCCGACGGTAGTTCTGGCGAGCCTCCTCAAAATCCCTCAATTCCAAGGCCACCGACCCCATTTGGTGGTAGATGCTGGCTTTGGAGTGCTGATCATTGACTGCGGCTTTCAAGTCGAGTGCCCGTTGATAGTTCTGACGAGCCTCAGCAAAGTCCCTCGACTTTAAGGCCAACATTCCCAGTTGGTGGTAGGTTCTGGCCTGGGAATGTCGATCATTGAATTCAATGTAAATGTCGAGTGCCTGTAGGTAGTACTGACGTGCGTCCACAAATTTCATATCCCGCTCCGCCAGCATCCCCAGCTGGTGGTAGCTTCTGGCTTGGGGATATTGATCGTTGCATTCCATGTAGATCCCGAGTGCTTGATGGTAATTCCCACGAGCCTCCGCAAAATCCCTCAACTCTTGGGCCACCGTCCCCAGCCGGAAGTAGGTGTTCGCTTGGGATTGTTGATTACCGATTTCCATGTAGATTTTGAGTGCATGTCGGTAGTTCTGTCCAGCCTCCACGAATTGCCTCAGGTATTCAGCCAAGCTCCCCATTTGATGGTATGTGTGAGCCTGGGAATCTCGATCATTGAACTCAATGGAGATGTCGAGTGCCTGCTGGTAGTTGCGACGAGCCTCCTCAAACTCCCTCAGCTCTTGGCCCACCACCCCAAG